AATTTAAATTTTGTGATTTAATGAATAAAAATATTAAAATATAAATGTATTTAAATAATATAATTGAAATCCCAAAAAGAGACATTTCAATTAAGTATTTCCGAATTATTTGATGTTTAAATTTTTTATCATAAAATTAGTTGATTATATTTTTGATTATAATAATAATGTATCTATTAAATAAATTTCAAATTTATTATCTTTCTGCTTCATAAAACTCACTTTTTCTCGAAAAATTGTTGTAATTACAAAGATAATATTTGAGTAAAATTAAATAATTAATCAAAATGATTAATATTATAATTCAAAATTTTCTATCATTTGAGTCAGTGTTAGCGTAAATTCAATATTATCATCAATTAAATTACCTTGCCTTTTCTTTAATAACACTCAGGATTTATGAATATTTATATACTTGAATTTCATTGCAGAATTATTGTTCTGCAATTCTCTATAAATTCTTGATTAAATATTCTAAAAATTAATATTTATTGGAATTTTGTATTTATGCGAGAATACGAAAACTTTTATTGTTTGTCTTAAGAAATTTATCCCATGTCAATATTGCTAATTTTGGATGCTGCCATAATTAATTAAGAGTTTTTTTATTTTGTACTACAAATTAATAGATAGCAAAAAAATTAAGTTTTTAATCATTTATTAATCACAAATAATCAAAAATATTTTTAATTTATAGATGAAGTAAACTATATCTTTTTCTTTTTTGATAGTAATATGTTTTGAAATTCAAACATATTTGTGTTGGAGCATTTCAATTTTACCACCATAATACCCATATAGATAATTTGAAATACAATAATCAAGTATTGTTGATGGAAAAAGTGAATGTTTTGGAGTTTGGAGTAAATATTTACCTTTGAGTAATATTGTATAAACAGGAGAATACGGAATACTTGATAGTAGCTGCTTTCATTAATTTAGAATTTAAGAAAAAGTAGAAAAAAATTTATATTTTTTATTTTTTGAATGCATAAGTTTTGAGGAAAAAATTGTTAAGAAATACTTTTAATTTTTAGATAGTGATAATAGAGTTACAATTGAATAAATTTCATTCGATTTAAGTTCATATGAAGGTTCTTGGTTTTTCAATGGATTCTTGGCAAGTCCTTTAGAAAAAAGAGTAACTATCTATATTAAGGAATAATAAACGAATTAAATATTTTCTAAAGATATACCAATTAGGTTTCCATTTAAAGAATATATTTTTATTTAAATAATTGGCGGAGATTTTAAAGTAGAATAGGCATCAAAATTTTATTTATTTGAAAATAAGTTACTATCATATTTTCCAGGATTAATATAAATTCTTTCAAAATGTTCTTATGATAGACCTGATTAATTATTTTAATTAATCTAATCAAGGGATTAAAAACCATGTATTTGCAAAAATAATTAAATAACGGATTTACCAGATGTTAAAATTTAAAATTAAGATATGTATGAATTTTTATCATAAAATACTAATTGTTAATAATTTCTATTAGCAGGATGGATTAAAATTTTAGAAATTAATAACAATTCTAATGAATTTTAGTTTTTGTTATTTAAATTAATGGGTAATTTTTAACATCCTTAATTGACTTAAGAAAATTTATCTGCATTTTAATTATTATACAAATTATCAACATAGATAAATTAAATCATTTTAACTACTTATAGCTATACTTTGCCTGTTGTTAATATTGATTTTTCAACCAATCCTTATTTAAAGAAAGTATAATTTGAAGTGACCAATGATATTTAATTGTGGCATTACCTTCTTGTTGAAAAATCAGATTAATTTATTTCAATTACTATTAAATTTTATTAGGGATATAATTAAGAAAAATTTAGCTTTACTTTAGAAGTAGTTTAATTCTAAATGGTATAATTTAAATTACTATATGGAAATATTTTTTAATCAAAATCTAACTATTTAACTCTTCAACTTACAGGATTTTAATTATTTAATTGTCTTGATTTTAATAATCCGTATATAAATTGTCATCCAACATGCAAAGAATGTGACGGTCCAACAAAAGATGATTGTTTATCATGTTATGAAGATTCAAATAGAAGATATATATCAGAATATAAAGTTTGTATTTGTGAATATGGAACTATTGATTAGAATAATGAATGCGTTAATTATTAAACATTATAACTAAATAAGATTGAAGTCTAGTAACTTGAAAAATAATGTCAGTATGGTTTTTTTGAAATTGATGATGATTGTTATCAATGGTATAATTTATTTATTATATTTTAGTCCATCAAGAATTACAATTGATATGATAACATGTTTAGAATGTATTTTAAATCCAAAATCATGGATTAATACTCTCTTTTGTTAAACATCCTACCTTGTTCATCAAAATGGAAGTGTTGCTAAAAATTTTTCTTATGAAAATTTATAATACATATTCACAGGAGATGAATTGAAATACTGTCCTAATTGCGATTTGAATTTGAAAGCACCATACGATTTAATTGAAGCATCATTAATATTTAAAAATTTCTGCACTGCCAGTTAATCAATAAACGATGGTTGTTATTTTTGTCAGGATGAATGTGAAAGATGTGCAATATTACCAACAAATGAATTATGTTTAGATAGGACTCCAAATGTTAGTTTTGGTAATAAAACTTGTTATGCTCCAAATTATTTAAATTTTTATAAGAAGTGTGTAAGTTGTGAACTAGAAAATTGCTTATATTGCTTTGATTATTTAGCTAGTGATCCAACAAAATCTACACTTGAAAGTTTAGAAAATTTTTCACTTAACGATGAAGAGATAAAAATAGGATGCGCTTAGTGTATAGAAGGGTATATCTTTGAATTTAAAACATCAACTTGTATCAACTAAAAACCAATATAATAAAATTGCCTTAGATCTTATATTAATTTTGATGATAGAGAAATTTGCACACTATCAAATGATTTCACTATCTCTTTAGAAAAAATAAATTGCCAAGACCTTATACTACATTGTAAATAATGTATCAAAACTATATAAACAACAATAAAATGTTTAATTTGTGAGGATGGTTATATAGTCTCTTCTGTTACAGGAGTTTGTAGCATTTGTTCTATTTTAAATTCAAAATAATGCTAATAAGATAATTTATAAGAACCAGGGAAATGGTAATTTTAAGGTTTTATAATTTAATTTTTGCCACCTAAGACTAGAATAAATTATGATATATCTAGACCAAATGAAATAGTAATTGAGTGTCATCAAGGATATCGAGTTTTAGACAACTATTGCCCACAATATTGTGATGAATCTTGTTCAGTGTGTGAAACAGAAAAATTGTCACCATCTTCCACATTTTATTGCTCTAAATGCAAGAGAAATTATTACAAAGAACTAATTAGAGTATCAGTTGATAGAAAATGCATAGAATGCTCTTCATTGTGTTAAGTTTGCTAGAATAGATCTACTGATGAGATTAATGTATTAGAAATAATTATAATAGCAAATAAATCCTTATTTTATATAAGATACAGAAAACTCAATATATACTTTTAGGTGCATCTAAAAAGTTCCATTTGACAGCAAAATTCATATTGATCCAACCCTAGCGATTGCTTAATATTGTTATTAAGACAATTGTAACTATAAATTAGAAATTTTATATGTAATATTATATTCACTAACTTAGAATGATATAAAATGCGATAAAATAGAAATTATAAATAATGCTGAATATAATTATAAATATTTAAATGAAATTGGACTCAAATATTTCACCATCACAATAAAATTAATATTAGATTGTCAATTTTGGTTTAAAGAATTCATAATTTAAAACTATCTGAAGGAAAATATATTTTCTATAAGATAAAGTGAATTAATTCTTTAGGGTAATATAAACCCTATAATAATACTAAAAGGCATTAAATTGGTAATATTAAAGCATGATTAAATTGTAATAAGTAATTGTATTTTTTAAATATCAACTTAAATGGAAATGATAATGACAAATAGAGGTCAATCAATTAATTTTTACATTTTAAATACAAAGTTTTATTCAGAACAAAGTTATCCTACATAAATATCTATTAAGGCAGATAGCTTTTATTAATTTAATATTGAGAATTTTACAATTTCAGATATCACCATAGGAAATTCAATAATTTTTGATATATTTTATTAAGGTTTGAATGAAGATATTATGATTAACAATATAAAACTTTAGGATTGTAGAATAATAAATTCAACTTTATTTTATTTTTATAATGTAAAGAGTATCATTTTTATCAAGAATTTTACAATTGATTCATGCACCTTTGAAAATTCATCAATTTTTATTTTTTAAATGGATTAAAATAGTATATCTAATGTATTCTTAGATGAATTAGTGATATCAAATTGTTTATTTAAAAATTCAAAACTTATATATAGTCCAGACACAACAATTTTAAATATTGATAATTTATCAATTATCAATAATTAGATGCTAAGTTCTTAATTTATAGTATTTAATTACAACTTTTATTGTAATGATATTAAAATTATTGATAATTATTTTCTTTAGCTTTAATTAATTGCATAAATCTAATCAATTCTATCAATAAAAGAAATTTCGATAAAGAACTTATTTGTAAAAAAAAATCATTTAACAAATTGTTCATTATTTATTACATAGCAAAAATAATTATTTAATAATATTGACTTTTTATTATTAAATTTTCATTTTGAAGATAATATTCCTTCTTGTAGAAACGACGATATTCTAATCTCAATAAACTGTTTTAATTTAATAATTTAAAATATTTTTCTAAAAAATACTACAAATTATCGTTTTTTAAATTTATAAGATATACATTAAATTCAAATCGATAATTTAATGTATGAAAATTAAGTTCAGGAATATAAAGTGCCTTATTAATTTGATTGCTTAAGAATTTGTGTTCCTCAGTCACAATTACTTTAAATTTTTGGATTTAATAGAATTTTTATAAAGAATATACAAGTGAAAAGTTAATTTAGTGTGGTTGGCATTACCTTCTTGTTGAAAAATCAGATTAATTTATTTCAATTACTATTAAATTTTATTAGGGATATAATTAAGAAAAATTTAGCTTTACTTTAGAAGTAGTTTAATTCTAAATGGTATAATTTAAATTACTATATGGAAATATTTTTTAATCAAAATCTAACTATTTAACTCTTCAACTTACAGGATTTTAATTATTTAATTGTCTTGATTTTAATAATCCGTATATAAATTGTCATCCAACATGCAAAGAATGTGACGGTCCAACAAAAGATGATTGTTTATCATGTTATGAAGATTCAAATAGAAGATATATATCAGAATATAAAGTTTGTATTTGTGAATATGGAACTATTGATTAGAATAATGAATGTATTAATTATTAAAGATTATAATTAAATAAAATTGATGTCTAGTAAATTGAAAAATAATGTCAATATGGTTTTTTTGAAATTAACGGTGATTGTTATAAATGGTATAATTTATTTTTTATATTTAGTCCATCGATAATTACAAATACTGTAATAACATGTTTAGAATGTATTTTAAATCCAAAATCATGGATTAATACTCTTCTTTGTTAAACATCTTTCCTTGTTCATCAGAATGGAAGTGTTACTAAATATTTTAATGAAGAAAATTTATAATACGTTTTTGCAGGAGATGAATTAACATATTGTCCTGATTGTGATTTGAAATTGAAAGCACCATATGATTTAATTGAAGCATCATTAATATTCAAAAATTTTTGCTCTGCCAGTCAATCAATAAATAAAAATTGTTATTTGTGTATAAATAAATGTAACTAATGTGCAATTTCATCAACAAATTAATTATGTTTAGATAGGACTCCAAATGTAAGTTTTGCCAATAATCCTTGTTATGCTCCAAAATACATAAATTTTTATAAGAATTGTGTTACTTGTAAACTAGAAAATTGTTTATATTGTTTTGAGTATTTAGCTAGTGATCCAACAAAATCTACACTTGAAAATTTAGAAATTTTTTCACTTAATGATGAAGAGATAAAATTAGGATGTGCTTAGTGTATAGAAGGATATGTATTTGAATTTAAAACATCAACTTGTATCAACTAAAAACCAACTTAATAAAATTGCCTTAGATCTTATATTAGTCTTGATGATAGAGAAATTTGCACACTATCAAATGATTTCACTATCTCTTTAGAAAAAATAAATTGCCAAGACCTTATACTACATTGTAAATAATGTATCAAAACTATATAAACAACAATAAAATGTTTAATTTGTGAGGATGGTTATATAGTCTCTTCTATTACAGGAGTTTGTAGCATTTGTTCTATTTTAAATTCAAAATAATGCTAATAAGATAATTTATAAGAACCAGGGAAATGGTAATTTTAAGGTTTTATAATTTAATTCTTGCCACCTAAAACTAGAATAAATTATGATATATCTAGACCAAATGAAATAGTAATTGAGTGTCATCAAGGATATCGAGTTTTAGACAACTATTGCCCACAATATTGTGATGAATCTTGTTCAGTGTGTGAAACAGAAAAATTGTCACCATCTTCCACATTTTATTGCTCTAAATGCAAGAGAAATTATTACAAAGAACTAATTAGAGTATCAGTTGATAGAAAATGCATAGAATGCCCTTCATTGTGTTAAGTTTGCTAGAATAGATCTACTGATGAGATTAATGTATTAGAAATAATTATAATAGCAAATAAATCCTTATTTTATATAAGATACAGAAAACTCAATTTATACTTTTAGGTGCATTTAAAAAGTTCCATTTGACAGCAAAATTCATATTGATCCAACCCTAGCGATTGCTTAATATTGTTATTAAGACAATTGTAACTATAAATTAGAAATTTTATATGTAATATTATATTCACTAACTTAGAATGATATAAAATGCGATAAAATAGAAATTATAAATAATGCTGAATATAATTATAAATATTTAAATGAAATTGGACTCAAATATTTCACCATCACAATAAAATTAATATTAGATTGTCAATTTTGGTTTAAAGAATTCATAATTTAAAACTATCTGAAGGAAAATATATTTTCTATAAGATAAAGTGAATTAATTCTTTAGGGTAATATAAACCCTATAATAATACTAAAAGGCATTAAATTGGTAATATTAAAGCATGATTAAATTGTAATAAGTAATTGTATTTTTTAAATATCAACTTAAATGGAAATGATAATGACAAATAGAGGTCAATCAATTAATTTTTACATTTTAAATACAAAGTTTTATTCATAACAAAGTTATCCTACATAAATATCTATTAAGGCAGATAGCTTTTATTAATTTAATATTGAGAATTTTACAATTTCAGATATCACCATAGGAAATTCAATAATTTTTGATATATTTTATTAAGGTTTGAATGAAGATATTATGATTAACAATATAAAACTTTAGGATTGTAGAATAATAAATTCAACTTTATTTTATTTTTATAATGTAAAGAGTATCATTTTTATCAAGAATTTTACAATTGATTCATGTACCTTTGAAAATTCATCAATTTTTATTTTTTAAATGGATTAAAATAGTATATCTAATGTATTCTTAATGAATTAGTGATATCAAATTGTTTATTTAAAAATTCAAAACTTATATATAGTCCAGACACAACAATTTTAAATATTAATAATTTATCAATCATCAATAATTAGATGCTAAATTCTTAATTTATAGTATTTAATTACAACTTTTATTGTAATGATATTAAAATTATTGATAATTATTTTCTTTAGCTTTAATTAATTGCATAAATCTAATCAATGCTATCAATAAAAGAAATATAGATAAAGAACTTATATGTAAAAAAAAATCATTTAACAAATTGCTCATTATTTATTACTTAACAAAAATAATTATTTAATAATATTGACTTTTTATTATTAAATTTTCATTTTGAAGATAATATTCCTTCTTGTAGAAACGACGATATTCTAATCTCAATAAACTGTTTTAATTTAATAATTAAAAATATTTTTCTAAAAAATACTACAAATTATC